ACGAAGTTAATAACATCCAGGGGTTGATTATGTGATATATTGGATGCAGACGATGAAAGAAGAAGAGGAAAAATTCAGCTCAAGAACAATTTATAAAATAAGAATAACACAAATTAGAAATTTACAAATTTTTATACAAAAATGTTTTTTTTTAACGTATCAAAATTATTTACGTACTAATTGAAAAAAAAAAAAGAAAAAGCTTTTGTAATATTTAAATACTTCATTCTCAAAAGGTGAATGGTTTTAATTCATAATTCATGTTAGTATATTAAAATGGGTTGTTCATAAAAAAGTATTTTAGTTAGTTTAGATTATAATAAATTACAAAAAACTAACATGCTCCTTTTAATCGAAGATCATCCAGTGTCTTTCAAATTCAATCCAACGATTTTAACCTACAGCCTGGGCTGTAAAATCGAGAAATATTAAACATAAGGGTGTCCCCCATTTTTTTTTTCTTTTTTTTTTTTTTCTCTGAAGATAGAGAAACTTCATCTTATACGGCGCCGTAGAGGGTGCTCACTCTAAGATATTAATCGCGTTTTCACTTGCGCAACTCAAACTCATTCCCCATTTCGATTCCAGAGAAAGGCAGAAAAGTTTCTTCCGTTTCACCCACAGAGGAGACTGCTATCCAATGGCGGTGGCGAGAGGAGCTCTGCTCAAGTACCTGAGGGTCAACGTCAGTCCTCTGCCCCAAAACCCCAGCGCTAGCAGCAATGGGCTGTTCCAGCTCACATTCAACGCGATTCGCCGCCGCTTCTCCGAGGAGGTCAGGGGGTCGTTCCTCGACAAATCCGAGGTCACCGATCGCGTTATCTCCGTCGTCAAGAACTTCCAGAAAGTTGATCCTTCAAAGGTATTCCCTTTATCCTCCCGAGATTTCATTTCCATTTTCTAGGTAAATCCCATCGTTTTCTCTTTGCTTATTGGTGGGTGAGTAGAATTGGCATTTTGGAGTAAGAACAATGAAAATAAACTTAATTCTGAGAAATTTATGTTCATTCTAGGCTGTAAACTAGGGTTAATGCTGTAGTTAGTGAGAAATTTGTTGTTACTTGCTACTCGGAGAAAGTGAAAGGAACAAATGTTGGTAATGAGGTTGCAGCGTGCAGAGAAAAGGATTGTGTGTTTCCACGCTTTCAGGGATTTTCTGGGAAAATTTTAATTCTAAGGTGGTTCTTAATAATTTTTTGGGTTTCTTTTTTTTTTTTTTTGCCCCCTTCTTTTTGGGGATATGTTCATTTTTAAAAGCTGAAAAGAGTTTACCATGTTGCAATCTCTTTTTTGTGTATATTGTTCCTGCATGTGTTTGTCTCCTTCGACGGAGATTCAATCAAGGGGAAATGGGAGGTTTATGCAGCCTTTTAAAATGATTTATTTTAATTGGAGAGGCCCTTGAGTTTCTTAAAGAGGGATGGACAAAATGGGGGCGAAGTGATGTGAACCTTGTGGTTTTGGTGGAGCATAACTTTAGTCTTTGTGAAATTTAAATTTGTTAGAATATTTTGTGAACTAATTGTTATCTTGATTGGTGGTACTTGCTATTATGCTTTACATGGCTTTGTAACCTATGCAAAATTTGCTTGAAGATTGAAATTTGGTCTCTAGTTATGGTGGTGGTTTTAGATCTCTCAATAGAGAACTTTTCTCATTTGTTACTAGGTTGCTGAAGCTGAGATGATGATCCTGGGATGTTATGTTATGTTCCTCTTATGATATGAAGAAATTTTCATATCCAGAAGTTTTGACAAATAATGGTTAAATAATGCATAACTGTGGTTAAGGTTTTTTGAGCAAATGTAAAATTGTAGGTAACACTTAGATAAGGCTTAAGGGCATTATCAAAATTTTATCACAAACCTCGTCTGCATATCTTGCTCTATCTGCTGTCTGAGGACGTAAGCAGAATTGAGGGTTTCCTAGTGGCTGAGGCTCATGCATATAATGTTTTGTGGTTTAAGTTATATTCTACTCCACTCAAGTAATTAAGATATTCGACTATCCTACAATGATGGCATAGAGAAATATTGAAGGATTTTATGTTGATTAAATTTAAGTTTAATTATTTAGTAGTTGTAGTACCAATTGTATATCTCAAACATGGACACTTGTTTGGTTCTATCTTTGAGTGTGAATGAGCCATGCTAGTAATGGACAATAATGAATGGTGCTTGAGTTTCATTCTTCTGCATTTCTAACTCAATGATTTTTTGGTCTTAATATCTGAAGCAGAAGTTTGGATTTTCTGCTGGGAATAGATGAAAAGGTCAGCGTTACTGTTATGTGGAATTGGATTAGATACTCCTTCATTAGTTGTCATGAAGTCTTACTTCTTGCCCTCAATGCCCTGAGACAATATTACTAAAGGCCTTAGAATTCTCTTTTTGTTCTCTTATTAGAAGGATCTTTGACTTGGAAATCTTGAAATTGAAGACAATTAGAATTCTCTTTCTTCCATTCCTTTCACCTTTTTGCCCGTCCTCTGAGATATTGTTGAATAGAGTATCTGGATAGGGTTTGTTAATTTGACTATAAAGTATTCAAAACCAGCAGTCCCTTTTCTTGGCCTTTTTGTTTTTTCCCTTTATTATGGAGGTTTCTTCTTGTTTGATTATTAATTTATTATTACAAAATAAAGCTTTCAATGTTGTATTGTTTTGGCTGGATTTTACATTGTCATTCTTCTCTTGCATTAAATAATTCTGTTCCCATTTTGTAGGTCTCACCAAATGCCCATTTCCAAAATGATCTTGGCTTAGATAGTTTGGATGCAGTGGAGATTGTCATGGCACTTGAAGAAGAATTTGGATTTGAGATCCCAGATAATGAAGCGGACAAGATCAATTCCATCAATCTTGCTGTTGATTTCATTGCTTCTCACCCCCAAGCAAAATAAGGTGAAAACATGAGATCCCATCTCATTATTTTCATCCTGTGAGGACTTTAGTTTAGCCACATCAGTAGAATTCTCAATTTTCATTGCTATAAGAAAAATGTTTGTTGTGCCCTTCGATTTTGAGTTCCTAACTTCCTATTGAAGAGGGATTATTTTGGATTCTTGCTGTTTCATTACAGCTTCCTTGGGTTCATAAAATGTCATGGTTTCATGAAAAACCTTTGGTTCTTTAATTTCCTTCTTGGTTATATTTTTGCAAGTATTTGTTTAGCCTACTTAAAGAGAACAAGTACATAACCCATGGAGAGTATGCAAACTTGATAATTGGTCAGCTGTGCTGGGTCGAGTATGGATGGATTACCAGGATTAGGGATTCCTTTCGACCTACATGTTGGTCCTAGTTAAAACCTGTTTGGGGTTCTCATGCCAAAAGAATTCGATTGCTCCCTTATGGGGTAATTAGAGTCTCATTTCATTTCTAACG